TCAATAAATATGAACGAATCGGATATACTTTGAGAAGACAATTGTGTGTATGTCAGGAGGAATTAGCTGACTGACTGGTTTCAGCGTAGAACTCTGCATCAATGTGCAGTAATTCAAGTCGCCACACTTCACTTAGCATACAAAGCAAGAGAAGGAAGTAAGAAGAAAGGAAAAACAGAGACAGTAAACAGAGATATTAGGCAAAAAGAATGGTAATATGGAAGGACAATATAGTTTTATTGGGTATTATAAATCACAAGGAGTGGATGCATTTGCGCCATTCATTGAGAACGATATTGAGCCATATCACCAATTATCTCCAGTTTTAATTGGTTTTACCACCCTGAGGACCCCAACCAGACAGGTAGTCTACACCTTCATACGCGACTGACTTAAACTAACTGCTTTGGATTTCATTGACTGGTGAAGCCATGTTTTGGTTTGACCACCACTGGCTGACTCTTTTCCAACCTGATCCATACTATGTCAGCTAACATCGCCCGTTGTCGAGGAAGGCGATCGATGGCTAGACATGCATGCGTAACACATGTCCTAACCATCTCAACCGATGTAAATTCACAGCCTCGTCTATTGATTTCTCCTTCTTACCTAGCACTCAACGACTAACCTCAATACTTCTCACCACTTCACACCGGAGATAGAACACAGACACCTAAGATCAAAGACAGCTGGCTAGCCTTTTCATGTCCTCCACTCTCAATGACCATGTTTTAACGCCAACCATAAAGGAGTACGGAGAGAACCGCTGAGCAGTACACAGCGGCCTTTACTCGACAGCCAGTCAGACCACACTTCTACGCCAGAGATGGCGTAAACTGGCATATGAGAAACTAGCCTTCTGTATCCGTGTTGAGATTTCGTCAGCGATCAACCCGTTTGCTGGTGCAACTTACAAAATAAGTGAAGTGATCAACACGGCCGGTCAACCACTTCACTCCTGCCTACTGTCAATTTAGTCCAGTCCTGCAGCAGCATCTTACATTTGACAAAGGGAGCAAATCACACGGCAAACATTCACAGACTGCAGCTGGAAATGGCAGCTTATGGACAAGCATTGAGCCGACTAAAAAAGACTACAGGGAACAGGATTTAATGGAGAGATGTGCTGCAGAACCCCTAGGGAATAACACCAGTAATAATAACTAGCTTGGATTCTCTATTAAACTGCGTGTTACTTAGCACCTAAGTTTAACACCAATTAATCTGATAAATACGTGTTGAGTGAAATAAACATTTGTAGTTGTACTTTATTTTAAGGGTAAGATAACGAAATATTGACATTTTTTTCAGACTTTTTTTTTCTCTCTCTCTCTTGACCTCATAAAATATTTTACTAATAAACAAACAATCAACCATGTGATAGATAATAATCCGTTAATATTTAATCAATTTCTAAATAGTTAAAAAATATTTTTTGTTCTAATTTGTTTTCCAAAGTTCATTTTATCTAGTGTACATTATAAATAATAGTATATTTATATCAAGTATCCGATGTTAACAAGTGAATATTATAAGTTATAACTGCGTCTTCGATTCAATATACTTGGATAGGTAGGTAGAACCTGGGAGTACTGGACAGCCAGCTGTTTCGTCCTAGTCTGAGGCTCTTCATCAGTGTACACACCCAACTCATGATGAAATCCTCCATGCAATCAAACAAAATCCCTACAAAACCAAATTGATCTGATGCTCACTAGCGATTGGCACTATACAGGTAGGTAGTTACCTGGGGTTTCAGTGGGAAGCCGTGAATAATGCGACAGACAGTTAGCGGGCAACCAGGAGACAGGAATAAAGTGAACCCATACAAAAAACTTCGAGGATCTAAACTTCGCCGATGATATTTGTCTGATTCCACACAAACTGGAAGACATGCAAGTGAAAAGCAACAAGTTGGCGATAGAAGAAGCATCCAGAGAAGATAGGACTTCAGGTGAACATAGAGAAAACAGAGGTGATGGAGATTCCTGGCCAACAGCAAAAGCAGCAGCAACAATAACAGACAACAATCAGCCAGCACAAATGGAAGGAATCTGAAAGAAGCAACCTCCCTTACCTAAATACTTACCTACCTGGGAAGCAGCGTTTGAACTACGGGCGGACGGAACTGATGAGAATATCAAAGCGAGGATCGTCGGGAAAGCAAGGCAAGCTTTCATTACTCTCAAGTCTGTTTGGAGGAGATTAACAGCAATCAGAATCAAAATGAAAATAAGATCTGGATTTTCAACTCCAATGTGAAGTCAGTGCTACCATACGGATCAGAGAGTTGGTGCCGCGTCACTAGATGTACTTCGAACAAACTATCCACCTTCATCAACAGCTGTCTTTGCTCAATACTTCGCTCAAGATCAGATGGCCAGCCAGAAGAGATCAGCAACAGGGAGGGATCTCTGTCAATGAACTAACTAACACAACCCAGCAGGAACCTATTGTGCAACAAATATGCAGGAAGAAATGGAGGTGGGTTGACCATACTCTGAGAAAACAAACCATCAAGTGAGTGACATCACACGCCACGCCATAGCTCGAGTGGAAACCGACCGAATGCGAAGCGACGAGTTGGTCGTCAGTGAGAGGATGGGGTGACATGGAGTGGAGGAGGTCATGTGAAAAGGAGATGAAAGCATGTGGGGAGACGTGGAGCCAAGCGAAAAAGTTGGCGGAGAATCGAACGCAATGCAAACGTGCGGCTGAAGCCCTATGTTCGTCTAGGAACTAAAGGAAATAATAATAAATATCCCCACCAGGCAGTCTACACCTCCGTAGATGTCTAGCTCATACCAAGTGTCGAAGACTTCATGAAGTGTTGTTGAGTTTTGTTTCGGACACCCCTAACTCCTTTCCAACCTAATCACTTAACATTGGATGTCGAAGAGAGCAGTAGATCGGCATCGTAGCACGCGTTATAGCCATCTGAATCCATGTAGCTTCACAACCTCACCGATTGAATTACTCTCCTTACCTAACACTATACGCCTAACCTCAATATTACTCACCATAATATGCCGCTTAACACGAGAGATAGTGTAACGACAGAAGGCAAGAGTCAGGCAACAGATCATTTATTAAGGAAATCAACGCATATTTATATATGTTTTCATGTACATTACTATGGATATTTAAGTAAACAAACACAGTCTTCCGATTAGTTGTTTCTCACGTAAAGTTAATCTTTCATCTATTTGTGACTGTTTCTTGAATGTCATATCCTCTATATGTTAACTGCATCCGCCTACGCAAAGTCGGCTGTGGTCGGTTTTGAATCAATCTTTGTTCACATTTTCTCACGACAAATCTTGGGAACGTAAATATTGACGTAAATTACTGTCTACCAATTTGGCTAATAGACAGCTCTCACCACAATAGGACCCAAACACCCATGGTCAACGACAACTAGCCTTTTCAAGAGTTCCACTTTCAATGATCCTGTCTCACAGCCATAAACAAACACAGAACGAAGTGCTGCCCAGTACACACGTTTTTTGATTAATAATCGTACATCACGTCTCCGTGAGAGGTGACATAAGTTGGCAAATGCCACACAAACCTTTTTTATCCATGCTGAGATTTCGCCACCAGCAATCCCTTCATTAAGGCTGATTCAATTCGTCGAGTAAGTGAAGCAGTCAATACACTCTACACCACTACTTCACTCCCTATCTTAAGTGAAAAGAATAATAACATAGAAAAACATGAGGGTTTAATGAATATGGGAGATTACCCAAAGAGTAAATGCATCAACACTAATGAGAACAATTTTCAACCATACTAGCAATTATCTCAGGTCATTGATTCTTATAAGACCGAGAATCCTAAACCAGGCAGTCTACAACTCTCTATGTGGCTGCCTCAAATGGAATGGAAGTTCCATACACCCCCTCGGAAGGCATATTAATGACTAACTGTTGAGGGTCTGTGAACAAAGTCGTAGTGCTGGGGAATAGAGATGTAACAGCCGCAGTAGGCTCTTTCCCTCAGATGACGACCAGAATGCCAGCCAGTTATGCTGTCTCTCCACTCTGGGAAGGAGGTGAGGTTAGAAAAGGTCAACCTCGAAAATAATACATCCCGAATTACGGTGGTCCTTAGCCGGTGGTAAGTGACTGTCCGTCTGTTTTCGACAATAGAACTTTGCAAATATGTGCGGCAGTTCAAATCGCCACATTCCCCACATGTAGCACACAAAGCAAGAGAAGAAAGTAGGAGAAATGCATAATAATATCGACAGTAAACAGAGGTGTGAGACAAAGGAATAGTAATAACGAAGAACAAAACAGTTTAATTGGAAATCATAAGTCACAAGGAGTGAGTGCATCTGCGCCAGCCATTGAAAACGATTTTGAGCCATATCACCAGTTGTCTCCAGCCTTCATTGGTTGTTACCTTCCCTAGGACACCCAACCAGGAAGTCTACACCTTCCTACGTGGCTTAGACAAACTGTTGTAGATTTCATTGACTGGTGAAGCCATGTTTCGGTTTGACCGCCGCTAGCTCTTTTCCAGCCTGACCCTATATCAGCTAACATTGCCTGTTGTCGAGGAAGGCGATGACTTGGCATAAGTAACATATGTCCTAACCATCTCAGTCAATGTAATTTCACAGTCTCGTCTACTGATTTCCCCTCCTCCCTTACCTAGCACTCGACCGACGCCTAACCTCAATATTGCTCATCTTATTACACCTACGACTTCACACGGGAGATAGAACGCAGACACCTAATCTTTTCATGTCTTCCACTCTCAATGGCCAGGTCTCAGCCATAAACCTGAATAATACAGAACCAAACCAAAAAGCCAGTTAGTTCAGACAGATCATATGTGACCGGCATCAAGCAGTTGTCCCCATGCAACACTAATTCTCTTTCTATTCCAAGTAGCCCAAGAAAAAATCAACTTTCAAGGTGTGAGCGGCAACCACCCACACACTTCCAAAAGCCCTCTTGATCAATAATAATGAAAACAATCAAACACTACTAGTAATAATAATAATTATTATTATTGGTATTATTTATAATTATAATTACAATAAATGTTTCATTTTCCACTACAATACACCCTCCATTGCTTATATTTTACAGTAATAGGTTAAAATATATTTATATATATATGTACACCCAGTTGATTTCTTCTCAAGAATAAGAATAATCACTAAGAAAAGATTTTCCTTTTTTATAAAAAAAAGTCAAAATCATTCAAGGTCGAAAAAGGCATTACACATTTCACAAACGAGACAATTGATCATTGAACAATAAATAGTGACAAAACAAAAGTGAATGAAGAAAAATAGCGCCAATACAATTGCTAACTACTCACACAAAGAGAAAGACAGGAAGGGGGGAATTGACAGCAAACTTGTAGCGGCGGTTGGAATGATTGGAGGGGATCTCCACGCACACTCACAGAGATGTTGTACACTTCTACGCAGAGAAATCAAGCAACGAAGAAGAAGAGGAGAAAGAGGGGGAAGTCGAGGCGGAGTACTACTTCCTTCAAATGAGCTCGACAACTATTCATAACTGGGGAAGGAATGTATTGATCGGAAATAAAGACGGAGACAGGGAAAGAGAGAGAGGGGGAGGAATAGAATAAATCAATAAATAAATAAACAAGTCAGAGAAGATAACTACAATGGAAAATAAATACTAATAATGACTGGATACATTTTTCAATAGTTTGTTCGTTTTCTTTAAGTTTGTCTTTTCTGAAGTATATAAAATCAGAATTACATATTCAAGGGGAACATGATAATGAAGCCAATGGTGAATGATATATGTATATATGTGTGTTTGTGCGTAAGTGTGCGTGAATGTGCATGAATGAATGTGTGTATGTGTGTATGTATGTGTATATATGCACACAGATAGATAGATAGATAGATTGGTTTGTATGTATGTAGACGACGTTCAGGTATCCACAGGAATGAAATACTGACTAACGTATTTCTGTTGAGCATATTTAAGCGTATCTTTTGGTTTATTGCGTTTCAATTCACCATCCCTAAATTAATTTAAAAAAGAAAAACAACAACATAATAAGTGTAGCAAATATGAAGACGAGATCATGATATGCAAATACATTTACAGCCGACTGCTTCCATAAACACAACTGGTACACCTGAGAGTGGGTAGACTTCGACTGTCCTGTGGTAATACTCTCTCACGTTGTCAGGCGCTGATAACCCACCTCTACCAGGTCTGTCTGTCTATCTAGCCATTTTCGATATAGAACTTTGCAAATATGTGCGGCAGTTCAAGTCACCACACTCCCTCCATGTAGCACACAAAGCAAGAGAAGAAAGTAGAAGCGATGCATAATAGAGACAGTAGACAGAGGTGTGAGACAAAGGAATAGTAATAACGAAGAGCAAAACAGTTTCATTGGAAATCATAAGTCACAAGGAGTGGATGCATCTGCGCTAGCCATTGAGAACGAAGGTTTTGAGCCATATCACCAATTGTCTCCAGCCTTCATCGGTTTTTATCGTCCCGAGGACCCCAACAAGGAAGTCTACACTTCCCTACGTGACTGGCTTAAACTAAGTGTTGTGGATTTGATTGACTGGTGCCATGTTTTGGTTTGACCGCCACTAGCTCTTTTCCAGCCCGATCCTATGTCAGCTAGCATTGCCTGTTATCAAGGAAGGAGATGACTAGGCACACGTAACACATGTCCTAACCATCTCAGTCGATGCAATTTCACAGCCTCGTCGATTGATTTCCCCTCTTTACCTAGAACTCGACGCCTAACCTCAGTATTGCTCACTTTATTACACCACTTCACACGGGAGATAGAACTCAGACACCTATGATCAAAGACAACTAGCTGGCCAGCATTTTCATGTCTTCCACTTTCAATAGCCAGGTCTCACAGCCATAAAGGAGCGGACTGCTGAGTAGTACACACGCCCTTTGGTCGATAGTCGGATATCAGGTAAGTCCTACTCATTGTCTTCATGTGGCACAAAGTGAAAGGGTGAATCCGAACGCTTGGCGCTTAAAAGCGGACTGGCAGTCATACAGGTCTACCACCCAGAGGAACTAGAGAATCCTGATTCCACACCTATGGTGTACATGAGCTCCAGAATCCGAAAGGATAGAATAGCAAACGACACCGTTTTAGTCAACAGAAACCATGGGAACACACCTCTACTGTCTTGTGGATGAGATTTCAAGTCAAAGACAAGAGGACAGTCCCCTTAAGACAATCACCTGCTCCAATCTGAGAGTCCAGACAGTATCCCAACCTTCCGACAAACTAAGACTTTTATTGGACATTAGTGTGACTAGTGTGACGTGTCTAGTCTTTTCATTGGTACAGACTGAATTCTATCAGTTAGATATGTAATGTGGCCACCATTCTAGGTAGCTCGCCATCACGGTGCACAATGATTTTGAGGATATTAGGTAGTTAGAAGCAATCGGCAGGAAGCCCAGCCTGACCTAGGTTTCGTGCTAGTTGGCACGCACCAGTCAGGAAGGCGTATCTGCAACCTTGAAGGAATTCATGTCCCTCCTTCTGAGATTCAAATCAGCGTCACCCAGTGCCACAGTGAGTCAGAGACGTTACCACTGAGCTATTCGGCCTCGTGATTGAACTCCTGTAGGACTGTAGTGGGTATTTTCATTGGACACCAGTAACTAGTGTGATGTGTCTAGTCCTTTCTTTGGTGCGTCCAAGTTGTTGTTTTATTAATGATCAACATTGCCTGGAACGAATGTTCCTGCAGGTCCTACGATGCCAGAAAGGTTACTTTGATAGCCATTAGACTAAAAGCAGTCCCCATCATAGTATAAGTGGTTTATACTATGTTGGAAGTGCGAGGGCAAAGCCCTAGTTTTGACAGCTAACAGATAGTAGTAGGAAAGTGTTCCTATCAGACGATCAGTATGTCAGCTATACTGACTCTCCTCTTGAAAGGATAGCGGTTAGAAAAGGTCAGCCTAAAAAACTGGACACTCCGATTTACCCTGAGACGGTCAGTAGGCAGTGGTAAGGTTTTCTCACACGGACACAACTCAAAAAGCCACTTGACACAGGCTGTGTGACCGTTATCTTCTGGACCACGCAGTCATGCAACACTAAGACTCAAACTTCCGCAGCGTGGACGTCTGAGAATTCATAACCGCTTCCATACACATTTTCATAAGCAGATAAAGCTTTCCCTAATCATCAGCCGCCTTCATCAAGTTCAACTTGAAACTGAAGGCTGAAAAAGACCATGACAATGCAATCCCCTGCCACCCCCACCTGATAGATGATGATCATTAAACTGCCAATTAAAATCACTTCAATACACGTGAGTTCCATACTACTGTATTTCGCTGTTAAATTGGTTAAAATCGAACTTGTGTAACCAATCAGCTTTTTCTAATTATTTTTATCACATTAGTTCTAAAAATGTCATTTCTTACGCCTTTAAGTTTTTCCCCTTGAACTGAATATATTTGAACTTCACTCAATTTATGTTAATCACTATGAGTTATCTAAGTTATACAACTCTTATGTCATACTTTGATTGAACATTAACTAGTGTCACACGTTTAGTCCTTTGTTTGTTTACTGTACACTGAATTCTCTCAATCTAGTTTGAAATGTGATGAGCAATAAGCTAGGCAGCTGCTCTTCATCACAGTACACTCTGAATATTTGTTATTAAATGGCTGGAGGCAATCGGCCGCATGCAGTCTTAGGACATAGGTTTCGTGCCTGTTGGAAATCCCCAGTGAAGTCAACAAGGTTGCATCAGCCAACGCCAACGGGTTGATCGCTGGCGAAATGTCAGAACGGATACAGAGGGCTAGTTGAGCATATGCCAGTTTACGCTATCTCTGGCTTAATAGACGTGATATCCGGCTGGCTGTCAAGCAAAAGGTGTGTGCACCGCCCAGCGGTTCGCTCCGTCCTCCTTTATGACTCTGAGACCTGGCCATTGAGAGTGGGGGCATGAAACGCCTGGCTAACTAGTTGTCGTTGATCATGGGTGTCTGCGTTCTGTCTCCCGTGTGAGGTGGCATAATACGAGGAGCAATATTGAGGTAAGGCTTCGGTCGATTTCTAGGTACAGAGGGGAAATCAATCGATGAGGCTGTGAAACTACATCGACTGAGATGGTTAGGACATGTGTTACGCATGCATCCGTAGCCATCACCTTCCTCGACGGTCAATGTCAGCTGATATAGGGTCAGGCTGGAAAAGAGCTGGCACGTGGTGGTCAAACCAAAACATGGCATCGGTCAATCAAATCCACAACAGTTAGTTTAAGCCAGTCACGTAGGGAGGTGTAGACTATCTTCCTGGTTGGGGTCCTCGGGATGGTGAAAACCAATGGCTCAAAATGATCGTTCTCAGTGGCGCAGATGCATCCACTCCTTGTGATTTATAATACCCAATATAACTATATTATTCTTCGTTATTACTATTCCTTTTATCCCATATCCCAGTCTACTGTCTCTATTATGCATTGCTTCTACTTTCTTCTCTTGCTTTGTGTGCTACAGTGGGGGGAGTGTGTCAACTTGAACTGCTTTACATCGGTGCAAAGTTCTATTATCGAAAACAGACAGAAGTCAACAAGGCGTATCTGCAATCTTGAAGGAATAGTTCATGTCCCTTCTGCGATTCGAACCTGTGTCGTTACCCAGTGAGTGCTGCAGTCAGAGGAGTCACTACTCATGTCATATCTAGCGGCATATCCAACTGCCTTTTTTTCTGACTAGTATAATTTATACACATACCAACAAGCTGAACTATTTAACACCTGCAATTCTAAGTATTCACCTCTTCATTTATGTAATTTATACAACACACTAATGATTAATTAATTCTGTAAATAACATACAGACTGAGTGTTGCACTGGAAAGAATATATCCAGTTGTCAAGCTTATTTGTGTATGTGTGTGTGTGGACAAACTCCCACCTCATATTATCTTCGATTTCATCTACCCAATATACATGTGCATGCCACAGCACATACATAGGAAAAACAGAGAAAGAGAGAGGAGGGTTACTGTCTGCAATTCACGACACGTACCAAAGAATCTGAGACCAATAAGAGCTGACAGGCATGAAACAGTGTGATTGCGTCTCATCTATAGGATACCGACGATATTGTGGATGATCCACAGGCGTTCAAAATAATCAACAGACAAAAATAGAACCTAGCTTGCTAAGATTTACTGAAGAGAGGAGAGAGGAGAGGACGCGCAGACTCAAAAGTTCACACAGAATACAAGACGATTTAAAGCTGTCACAACTAGTAGTCCACTGGCTTGCAAAACAAACATTATAAACACAGAGATTAAACACTAGTGTGAACAGCGAAAGGATTTCCACTACACCATATCTGTAAATTGAAAAGAAGACAATATAAGAACGAAGGTTGAAGAGCACAAGTCTATTTCCACATGACCACAAAACGCCTTGGGTTTCGACAGGAATACAGGGATTTAACACAACATCTCGGAAGTACTCTTTAGTTGACCCCCACCCCGACTCCTCATAACCTTTTATTTCCTCTTCATATGATCTTTTCAATAACACTCTTGCATCGGTAACACAGTGGTACAATACTCGCCAACCACGCCTCATGTGGTTCGGTCCCCGGCCGACGACGCACTCTTTTGCCTCGTTAAGTCAGTAATAAGACTGGAAAAGAGGGGAGGTTGAGCATGACGTTAGCTACTCCACCCCGTAAAAATAAATACCACTGCTACGGAAACTTCAAGCCTCTAGCTTGAGACCACCTTGTGTTCCACTGGGAACGTAAAGGAATAAAAAAATATCACTCTGAGACGACCAACTCATCGCTTTCTATTCGATTTCCACTCAACAGTCTGCACTTAGCGTGATTCCACTCAGTGGTCTCCTCAGCATATGTCTAATTCATCTCCATTTCCTTCTGCATTTTTGTTGAGGAATAGCCTGTTGATTGACTCTTTGTCTACCAGAGTTCTTTGCTGCCTATACTTCATGGCTATCACATCTTGAGTATGGAGCCAGTAAAGGCAGCTGTTGACGTTAGAAAATGTTCCACAATGAAAATAAAGGTATGTAATCACCAATGTCAAGTTGGTCACTGCTTCTATACGGGTCAGAAACTTGCACTGCGTGTCACGAAAAGGATTTCCAACAGACAGTTGCAGACTTTCATCAACAGTTTCCCACTTCGCTGGTTAGCTCGATGCTGAAGATCAAATGGCAGACTAGAAAGAATTAGTAACAAGTAGCTTTGGCTGGCCGATCACTCCTGTGGAGTCAGTTACATAGGCTGTACAGTTAGGTATGTTTATCGTCGGATTTCCGAACACCATACTGCATAGTGGTTAAGTAAAGAACAAACAAAATCTATTCGTAGTGCTATTCTATCTCATCTCGCGGATACAGAACACAAGATTGATGTAAACAAGGCGACTTTCAAAGTCATTTACCGCATACCAACAAATCCTAATTTCTCCTTAATAGTTTGACTACTAAATATTGCTGAGGCTGTTGGGATCCACATTAAGAAGCCCAATTTATGTGTTCTAAAGAAGCTAGTTCAGACATTATCCTTACCCGCTTGGCCATCTAGGTTTGAATGATCCTGAATTTTTGTGGAATTTTCCTAATTTTAGTTGATATTCTATTTGCTATTACATTTTTATGCTTATTATAATTTATGCAACTTTAGTGAACTGTAATTCTATTGATCTCACTTAACAACCAGATAGTGTTTAAAAAACGCCAATATTGTTATTGACGACCACTTCAGAATATTCTGTGTACTTAAACACAAATATAATTGTAGAGGCAATTATCCAGAAAGGATATTCTTCGTTCAATTATTTTGTTTTTTCTAAATATGTAGGAGAAAATGGAGATGGATCGAGAATACATTGAGGAAACCGTCGAATGACATCGCGCGCCAGGCAATCACTCGAGTGGAAGCCAAATGGGAAGCAGCAAGTGGGTAGTCGGTGAGAGGGTGACATGGAGGAGATCGTGTGATTTGGAGGAGATGAGAGATCGTGGGCAATTGTGGTCCAAGCTGATGAGGACGGCAGAAAACAGAACAAAGTGGAGATGTGTTGTTGAAGCCCTATGTTCGACTCGGAACCCAAGGGAACAATAATAATAATCACTTTCTCAAGTTATTCCGTATTTCCCGATGATAGATGTATAGTGGACCGAAATGTTGGGTCACTACTATCATACCAGATCCTAGTATGGAGGACACTTCAGAGATTTCAAAAGATTAACAAAATTTTATTGAATTGATGGTGTCTAGCAGTAGAATCTAGGATATCTTCCCACAGTGATTGATGATGTCCCATTTACTTGACATGCAGACACATTCAGATGAAGAGGCCCAAACAGGACGAAACGCGCACATCCTGGACTCCACTGCTAATCATCATCAACCAAAGAAAATATGTGATACGGCATTCTAGATAACAACAAGATATGGTGACAGCTGTCTGCAAGACAACATTGTAAGCAACAATTTACGTCAATGTTTACGTCCCAGAACAAGGCTTAACCTTGAGGAACTCAACAACCAATCACAGCAGACTTATCGTGGGCGGATACGATGTGCAGATATATCAACGAACTGTCTAAGAAACGGCAACAAAGAGATGACAGAATAACCTTCAGCAGGCAAACAACCAATCAGAAGAAGCTGCTTCTCTGCTAACAATAACGCTAACAATAATGTACATAAAAATCTATAAATATCTGCTGATTTTCTCAATAAACGAACAGTTGCCTGGCCCTTGTTTTCTGTCGTTGCAGATATACTGAGGCATATGCGCAGTACTATGAACCTCAACCTCCAAGGCGAATATAATTCGTATTTCGAAGCAACGAAGCTGTATTATTAACATATTATTAGCAGAGAAACAGATATATAAAAATTTCCGCTGGGTATACTGTCTAGGAAGACAATGGAAGTGCCTTAGTTAAACCAAACAAATTAAGAAAAACATAAAAAAGAACGCAAAAAAAACACAACTTACCAATCCATACCAATCATTCCACCACACTGGGCAATACTATGCTGTACACGTCTAGCAAATGCTATGGAATCTTCTTCATCAGATTTTCGTGTCGGTGGTAAATACCAAACATCGACCATAATAGCCCATGATGTCATTGTCTTCAAACTATACTGGAATAACCCATCACGACTGCTGTTCCAAAAACAGTCAGCAAATAAAGGATTGTACTGTATTCAGTGGAGAAAAAAGAGACGAAGAAAGACAATGAAAGGAAATGACAAATAACAGAAAAGTGACAAGTTATGTACAGAATACATAGAAATCAACAAGAGGATTGAATACAATACATACAAACATCCTTCAAGACACTTATAGATTATTCCTTCAGGTGCTTGATGGAAATGGCTTCAGCAAACTTGAGGAGAATTGAGCTCTTTTGCTTATTGATAATTTTGAACTTTTTGATGTTCACCTGATGACCCGTGTCAAGGAGATGCCTGGAGATGGCACTGTTTAAAGCATTTGTTCCCTTTAGACATAAGCTTTTTGGTACATGTTCAGAAAATCGTAGATATGCCCTTCTTTCTGTCCTTCTAATGTAACTGCTCTCACAGATACATGTAAATTTGTATATACAGTTGGAGTTGTTAACATGAGAAGGATATCTATCGATTTTTGATTGTACCAAAGAGCAAGTTGCTCGATAGACGGGGACGAGCTTAGCTGCAAGATAGGCTATGGCTAGTGATGTACTCAGCCCTTTGTTGATCATTGCTGCAATGTTTTCACCTTTATAATCAAGCTGTATGTAGACTGGCTTTTTACCCAATGTGATTTGTTTTACGTTTGTGACTTTAGATCTTCCATTCTTGTTGATGAACCTTTGAGGGTACCCATTGCTCTTCAACATCTTTTCAAGAAACTCAATTTCTTCCCCTAATTTCTCGCTCTGTAGTACAGAATCTTGACTAGTCCGCGTTTAAAGCTATTCGGACAAAAGCTATTAAAATGTAAGTATTGTCCTTTCCATGTAGGCTTTCGATAAATTGACTTCTGAATACTACCGTCTTCTAGGCGTTGCATGGCAGTGTCAAGGAAGTGGAACTTTCCGTCACTGTCATGTTCCATAGTAAACTCAATATTGGCGTGTGCATCATTGAATAATCTGAGTAAGTGTGAAGCATAACCTTCATTGTTGCACACTATAAACGTGTCATCAACATATCGACAGTAGGAAGTTGTTTCGTCGATTGCATGCTTCAACTTTGTTTTTTCAATGTTGGACATGAATATATCTGCTAAAACAGGGCTAAGTGGATTGCCCATAGCTACACCATCTATTTAGTGGTAAAGAGTGTTGCCAAATTGGAATTGCATATCCATGGTACAAATAAGCAATAGGCGTTTGAATTCCAACTCTGGCAGTGGGAGAAGATCAGACTGCTGGCAAATGATCTCAATAGTTTCGTTGATTGGAATCAATGTGAACAAGGAGGTTACACCAAATGACACCATGAACTTATTTAAAATGTTCATGTGGTTCACACTTTCAGAGAAATGAAATGAGTCTTTCATTGTGTGCCGTTGACGAATAGGTTCCAACTTCTCTGCAAGCCAACGTGCCACCTTATGTTGGGACGAGTTGATCATCAAAAGTATGGGTCTCAGGGGGACTTGTTTTTTGTGTATCTTCGGAACGCCATACATGTGTGACAAGCGGGACCCTCGGGGTTTCAAATCATTGTACGTAGTGTTGTCAATCAATTCCTTCTTTAGAAGATCTCTCAGTGTGTTTGTGATACGTTTTTCGACTGCATCAGGCTTATCTTTCTGGCAATTGTCAACTTTGAACCTCAACGGGTCATTTAACACATTTTTCATCTTTGCGATGTAGTCCTCTTTGTCCATCAGCACCACTCCTGAGCTTTTGTCAGGTCGCAATATAATAATTTTGTCATTATTCTTGAGAGCTTTTAGTGCTCTTTGATGCTCTTTAGAGAGGACTTTGGAATATGACATTGGAGAAATGAGGTATTGATTTGCGACGTCGACGAGCTTAGATTTGAACCAGCTCGTCTTGTCATCATCAACTGGAGTAAGGTCACTCAGCTGATAGAATAAGTTTTCGAATTGAGCTGCGACATCAGTTCTTTCGACAAACTTATTTGGGTTAAGCGAAGTTTAGGAGTGCATCAGTCGACAACTGAACCCCGAGAGACTGACTGATGGCCTCAAGATTGATTTCATCATGAAACAAAATCAGTTGGAGTAGTCAGTTAGTCGGCTTCCCTGTATATGCATGAATGCATCTTACTCAACAACTATAGAGAATTCCATACAGTTGACAGTGAGCCACACCTATTGTATGACGGCCAGTGATTCAGCAGGAGCTGCCACAACATCGACAGATGTGGGACATGGTCCGAACCCGTGACTCATTGGTTGAAAGTTTAGAGTATAGAGTAGTGAGCCACAGCTCCACATCAGCAACCCTACCATCCTCCCAAGAATAAAGCTAACTATACATAACAACTGGTGAATGAACGGTGAATTAGAACGATTAACTGTTTCAATCGTATTAACAATGAATCTACTTAAAGCTGACAAAAGCCTTTTTGAAATACTCACATAAAACTCGCAAACACTTCATTTACGAATTATAAACAATTTGTTTGATGTGGAGGTTAGCACTGGAAACCTAGACGATTGTTTCGGCAGCTTATTTAGAACTCAAACACCTGGATGCATCTATACCATCAATGATTGATTCAAGCCCCAAAGCGTTACCATTTTCCAAGCCACATAAGTAATCTTTACCACAAGACTTTGTGATTTCTATTCGCATCTTGACGAACTGGTAGTTGACTGAATACAAGAAAGATTGTATAACACCAACGAAAGTGTAATAACCCACGAGGTTAAATCTATTACATGAGTAGTGAAGTAGCTTGAGAGGAATGGTGAAACCAAGACACAGTGTAGTTGAAAATCAACAGCCGATGTGAAATGACCCACACTTAGTTCCCATAAACCCGCTTATTCATACGGCAAATAATGATGCAACAAGCCGAGATTTTAAGGAATTATGTCTGCGTAATTTGCATCACATGTCATGTCACATAGGCTATTGGTACAACGTGCCTGTCCAAACCCCATTTGGCGGAGTGTGGGAGAGGTTCAAACCTGTGACTTGTTGGTTGGAATTCGAGCGGGCTTAGATTAAAAGGTCACAGCTCCACACCATCTTCATTTGACGATACGAAAAACACACATATTAGTTATAAGAAACATGTTTGATTGCCATGCATACAATCGACCCTATAACCCGTGGAGGGAGTTGTCTGGGTTCTAGTGGGAAATCATGACCAGTAGGGTACACAAGGTCGAGTGTGAGGAAAAATACTCACCAGTGATAACACTAACTAATAGTCGTAGAAGATGGAATCCATGGACTGGCCATCAGATCGGCTACAAATGTCTCAATGGTCTACGAGCTCGCCTTACAGACGGAAGTTCCTGAGTTTCAACCCCCTGTGGCGGGTATGTACTGATAAAGAGTCCCAAATCGGGACGAAACACCTATGGGTGAAATCATTAAACTGTCTATCCTAACCAAATAGGAAATAAAAATTTCGACGACTGTCTGATAAAAATCTTTGAATTAATGCTTAGAAATTTTTCTTATGATTATTGCAACTAGAAATCGATTACAAAAAAAATGCTGATCGATTTATTCACTCATTGGCTATGTAATTTCTGAGAAATTTTGATTAGGTTATCGATTTAATACGATTATTTCCGCTTAAGTCTTTTTCTGTATTACGCTCTAGAAAAATGCTTGTCTGTTAGTTTATCTTTTAACAATAAAAGTGGGGAAATATAATAATAATATGAGGCAACAGTAAAGAATAGACACCATAGTCAAACAACCTTGAACCAACCAATCAGATCACGCAGTGCCGCAAATGGATGTTTTTTTCATAATCTTTATTGCAATTTTCATTCTGATTCAGAATTAAGGTTAGAATGTGATTTTGAAGTGTGTGGGCGGTTGTTACTTCCCAGCCGCCCACACCGTGGAAGTTGATTGATTCTTTAGTGTTGAGTGACCGCAGAGCCCAGAAGACAACTGCTTGAGGCCGGTTACACACTGGTTTCTTGGATTGGTTCCGTATTAGTAAATTTACCGCCGGTTAAGGAACACTGTAGGTGGGGTAATTTGGGATTTACGATATTTGGGGTCGACCTTTTCCAACCCCCTCACTCCCTTCAGAGTGGAGAGACAGCATAGCTGGCTGGCGTGCTGGTCGTCATTTGAAGGAAACACCTTACTGCGACTGTTACATCCCTGTTTCCCAGAAGTACGACTTTACCGACAGACGCCCAGAATAGTGTAAAAAGAAATTCTTACACTACTTTTAGTCTAATCGCTATTCTAACAACCTTTCTGGCAGGAACAATGGTGATCGACTCAATGATGTCCTTAAGAGGGGAATTTTCAATTCTTTAAGAACTTTCTTCGCGGCAACACTGAGAGTAGTGTTCTCTAGTCACCCGCTCATCTGCAGAAGCCCAAAGGACAAAATCTCATACCTGACCACTTCTATGTGTATATATCAGTTCACCTGTGCCTGTGGAGCCAGGTACATCGGTCGTCCGACGCGCATCCTGTCAAAAAGGGTCGAAGAACACTATCCAGTGTGACTGCAGAGAGGAAGTATTGGCCATATAAGGAGTGCAATCATCAAACATCTCGTCACCACTGGTTATTCCATCTCAACAAATGCCTCTTTCAAAGTAATCTACACAACCTAGCAAAGACAATACGTTTCCGTCTTCTTTGTATTTCAGAAGCCCTAGCCATTCAGTTTGAAGAACCAGAACTATGCTTACAAAAGAAAATTACTCAACCACTTCTACTCCCATGATAACAACTGTTTTGATTTGACCTAACTTTTGCTTGTTTGCTTGTTATTTTTATAACTACTTAAAATTCTTGCGTCATTCCGTATTTTATTTTGTTTCCATATTTACCCTGAGCACAACTCTTTCATCAAACTATTCATGTTATTACGTAACTCTTCTTTAACAATCGTTTGTGACAACTCATCACTTTTGTTACTACCCTCTTATATCAGCATCCAATTCCTCTGAACGCTTTTTGTATTACGCAACTCCACCAAAAACTTACTAATTTTAGTTTCGTTTGACAAATTTAATGTACACATACATACAAAATAACCATATATATTATTTGCAATTGTACAGTTATGAAAATGAATTCGCCGCCAAAAAGAGACTCTTCGCTGAACTACTGGTCTTCTTTTTATTAGTGTTCGAATGAGGATTTTTCATGAAATATTCACACTGAATCATCAAGTTGTGGATCATTTGGTCTAAGCACTTGACTTCCAATCTTCGCTCTACCACTTTCCGAGGTTTGGATATCCAGGTAGTATCATTATACAGCTCTCTCTCTCCGTCACATGCATATACATACACGCACAAAAGGTGTGGCTCATTACCAACTGCGTGTATATGGAAATGGTTGCCAAGTAACACACTAGTTTTTTATTATTTTATGGAAATAATAGCGAGGAATAAAAGGGGTAAGCAGACTTCACAATATAAACAGCATAATGAATTTTAGAAAGTTATAAATCAGTTTGCAATAAATGAACTGACTTCAGTTAGAGCCCTACTGGAAATTAGGAAGTGTATTGGGCAGCTACTTCGTCCTTGGTTGAGACTCTTCAGAAGGGGAGCACTCATGACTCATCCAGGGATAGAACCGAGGACCTTCACAGAGCATAGGGCGTGTTTGTTGAACATTCAGCCACTCAAAAACAATCTAGTGGCAAGCCCACCACCAGCCAATGGTCATTAGTGATTATTTGTCCTTACGCCTACACGGGTACACGTCGCTGGCCACGACGTCCTGCAAGAAATCCAGGCGACTTCATCGTTGTAGTCAGTCACTAGTGACCAACAGCTTAACTCTTAAGTGTTACTTTAAAGGGATTCAATCGATTTATCGCACATGACAGGTCTAAACTGCTAGCTTGACAAACGACACTCGGAGAGAACTAACTCTTTACAGGGGTGATTTTATTCGATTTTATGGTTAAACAGTGACTACTGTTCACACTACACAGAGAGACAGAAAAAAGAAATTTTACAAAAAAAAAATGTTATTCACAAACCTTAATTGCAACTGGATGAATTTCAGCGCCAACTTCAAAACAGCCTTTTTTAAACTTCATCACCGACGTGTTATTGATACAAGTACCTTCAGGGAAAATCAATATTGGTTCAGCATCTGGAGTAGTTGCATGCTGTTTTAATCGTTTAGCTGTTGCATTACGATCTAAAACTTCACCGCGGTCAAACCAGATAGCAGGCACAGCACAAGAGATAATCCATTCAGCAAATCCAAAAAATCCTTCATGTTTTTGACCCACCTGATGAAAAGTAAAGCAATAGAGAAAGTGTGGTGAGAGCTGGCTAAGAACAAGCCAAAATTGTAGACAACAATTTACGTCAATGTTTACTTCCTGAATCGGGGTCATGAGAAAAAACAATAACAAAGCTTAAGCCTGAGGAACTCAACAACCAATCACAGCAGGCTTAGCGTGGGCAAATATGATTCACAGATATATGGCTCAACTTCCTGAGGAACGGTCACAAGCAGTATAGAATAACCTTCAGCAAGAAAACAAGCAATCAGAAGGCGTTGCTTCAACGCTGACAATAATGTACATAAAAATCTATATATATCTTTAGAACAAATTACTTAGAGCGAACAATTGTTTTCAATAAGTTCTTCTTCTTTAGGCTCTACAATTATAAATCCATTAATTTCAGCATATAATAGCCAGCCACTAAAGGCAAATTAGAATCATATCAGAAAGTGTATTGTGGAACAATATGCATGGTCAATGAGAATAATGATTATATATATATATATACAATCATAAGAAAGGTCATGAAATCATAAAAGTCAAAAATGAAGGTTTGTCAATGAAACAAAGGAATAGATGAAGAAGAAAAGAAAATTGTGATAGGAATTTATAGTGCTAATGTTTATGGAGGATTTGTTGGCTTTATCATAGGTCAGGGTAAACACAGCGGTTGAACATACTTCTTCTTCTGTATACAAAGAGTTGGTCCTCTGGTATTAATTGCAACCGCTTCAGCTACTGATAGAAGACGTAGTCGAACTCCTCTAGATAAATTACTAGGAACGCGGTAAATAACTGTGAACGCCTGGTCACGTTTTATCGGGTGTTCAGTATCTACCAAGTGGGCTAAGACTGAACTATTTACGCATTTGGTTACCCCTTTACTCAACCATACAGGTACATGTTCACGCGCGCGCGCATGGATAAAGCCCTCTGAGTACGGCTAATGTAACTAGCTCCACATGAGCAGTTGAAGTCATAGATACACATTGATGAGGCCATTTTTGGTAATTTATTCTTGACTTGCTGTGTGAGTACTGGCTTAGTTGAGAAGTTGAGTACCAGTTTAGCTGCAGGTCGACATTTTAGAATGTGAGCTGCACTTTCCAATTACAATTTTGTTCTGAATAAATTATGGGAATATTCAATTTACTATAAATATCTCTTGATTTTCTCAATAAACGATCTGTTACCTGGCCCTTGTCTTCTGTCGTCACAAAAGAAATATACAGAGGCAGGCATATAAATGGATTGTATTCGAAGTAGGTTATGAGGAGTTAGAAAAGAAAAGGCGTTCAGCAAAGAGTTACTCTTTTCGGCGATATCATTCTCAAGCTGTACAAACCGCAAATTTATAGTAATTTTTCTTGGCAACAAAAGGAATATTTCCAAAGATGTGTTAATGCAATTGTTAATTTTTGACAACAAATTACGTAATTTAGAAGGCGTTAATCGGTTAGAAACTAAAATACAGTTACAAAAGTAGGTTGGGTGACGTAATCTAATTGCTAGGGTTCAATGAAAAATGAATCAGAGTCAAGTTAATAATCTGAGTAGAATTCACTTGAAAATAAATAGAGTTAAGTTCTGAGTAGAATTCACTTGAAAATAAATGAGAGTTAGGTTAATAAGCTGAGTAGAATTCACTTGAAAATAAATGAGAGTTAAGTTGATAAGCTGAGTAGAATTCACTTAAAAATAAACGAAAATGGAGTTAGCAACAGTCGTTATGAGGGTAGAGATTTAATAGAGGGTGGAGGTAGAAAATAATGCAATTAAGAAACAGACAAACAAAGAAGAAAGAGGTAAGACAAAATTACGTATTTGGTGTTGAGATAGATCAGGACCATTGTAGATTTAGTGACTGAACAAACTTCTTTTGTATGCAGAGTTCAGGATTCAATATGTGAATTGCCATTGCTTCTGCAGTTTGAAGAAGTTTAATTCGTACTCTTTTGGCAAGATTCCCACGTATTGTGTAGATAACTGAGAAGTTGTTTTGTGGGTTTGCTTGGTGTCCGGATTCGATCAAGTGTTCTAGGATAGAGCTGTGGAGGGGGATCTTCTTTCTCCTTTATAAAACCATGAAGGTAAGTGTTCGCTGATTCGTTTGGATAGCAAACGCTGGGTACGGCCGACATACCTAGCTCCACATGAGCAGGTGAATTGGTAGATGCACATTGATGAGGCCCCCAGTGGAAGCTTATCCTTCACTTTCTGCGATTCATTTTTCATTGAACCCTAGCAATTAGATTACGTCACCCAACCTACTTTTGTAACTGTATTTTAGTTTCTAACCGATTAACGCCTTCTAAATTACGTAATTTGTTGTCAAAAATTAACAATTGCATTAACACATCTTTGGAAATATTCCTTTTGTTGCCAAGAAAAATTACTATAAATTTGCGGTTTGTACAGCTTGAGAATGATATCGCCGAAAAGAGTAACTCTTTGCTGAACGCCTTTTCTTTTCTATGACTGAATGGGAATTTTCAAATTATGAGAAGTTAGTTAAGACGTATACCCCCACAAAACAAACGTTTGTACTTTACAACTGTGAAACCTTCCTTAACTGAATGTAAAAAACAATATCAGAAACAGACATAAAAACGCAGATTAAGTGTACTATATAGGTTTATACTTGGATGATGTGACGGACACAGAAAGAATAGGACACTTACACACTATCTAGTATATACAACTAAGCTATTCGGCATATACTTTTACATGTAATAAGATATGGGCGAAACAAGAAGTGTGACAATTTTTACGACTATTCAACAGCAAGGCTGTACTTCAATGGAGTTTTGAAAAGGGTAATCACGGTAATAGAAGTAACTGACTGGTTTCAACATAGAACTTTGTACAGATGCGTAGCAGTTCCAGTTGCCACCCACCACTCCATGCAGCACACAAAGCAAGAGAAGGGAGTAAAGAGATATTCAAAAGAGAGATAATAAACATAAGTGTAACTGAGAGAAAAAGAATAGTAATATGGGAGAAAAATTGAGTTCGCAAAGAGTGAATGCATCTACGCCAGCCATTGAGAACAATTTTCAGCCATATCACCAATTCTTTCCACCCTCCATTGGTTCTTATCATCCCGAGGAACCCAACAAGTCAGGAAGTCTACACCTCTCTATGTGGATGGCTAGCTTAAAATAACTTATGGATTTCAATGACTGATGAAGCCATGCTTTGCTTTGATCACCACACACTATCTCTTTTCCAATTTGATCAATCTTGTGTCAGCTAACATGAGTAACACACGGTCTAGCCATCTCATTCCATGTAACTTCACAACTTCATCGACTGATTTTCTCTCCCACCTACTTACCATTCGATCAACGCCTCTCCTCAATATCGATCACCCTATTACACATACAACCTAACATGGGAGATATAACGCAGATACCTGTGATCAAACACAGCTAGCCAGCCAGGCATTTTATGTCTTCCAAATTCAATGACCACGTCTCACAGCCAGCCATACAGTAGGAGGAAGACGAAGCGAACTGCTGAGCAGTACACAAGTCCTTTGGTCGATACCTAGCGGGACATCACGTTTACTAAGCCAGAGATGGCGTGAGTTGGCTAGTAAATGCCAAACGAGCCTTCTGTATCCATGCTGAGATTTTGTCTGCGATCAACCTGTTGCGGCTGATGCAACTTCCAAAATATGTGGTGAAGTGGTCAACACGCTCAGTCACCACCTCACTCCTGCCTATCTTTAGGCTAAGAGTGAGTCAATGTAGTCTAGTCCTACACCATCATCTTACACTTGACAAGTGGAGCGAATCACATGCCAAACATTCGAAGATAACTGATCAAGGTGTTCAGAAGACACTGCTTTTTTTCAGCGTCTTCACCCAGGAGTACTATATAATTTGCATATTCTGAGTCAGGGAGATTATTCCCTATAATTCAGGGCCCAGCATAGCTCGTTGGATTTAGCTAGTCAACTTTCAGTTAGTAGGTTACAATTTCGCGTGCTTTTCGGGTTGTGAGGGCGATTGTTACTTCCCGGCTGCCCAAACACCGTGGAAGTTGGTTGCGTGACCGCAGAGCCCAGGGGACAACTGCTTGAGGCCGGTCACACACGGCCTGTTTTTGTTTGTTGTTTTTTTATTTGGTGTGTCTCAGTAGCGTATTTATCACTTCTGCCCTGTGACACGGCAGCAGAAAGCGCGGTCGTTGTTAATCCAGGCCCCGACCGATCCGGCATGATATTTTGTGATTTGTTTGAAGTCATAGGATTGGGTAGCTGCTTTTAGTCTAACCGCTATCCAAACAACCTTTCTGGCATGGTAAGACCTGCAGGAACATAAGTTCCAGCCAGTATAGCTTGTTGGGTCATTGCGGTGTTCAAGCCCGACCACCACGTCAAGGTAGCAGGTAAGTAATGTTGACGTTAGGCGTAGAGTGTTGGGCAAAGAGGGAAAATCACTCGAAGAAGCTATGAAGTTACGTACATTGAGATGGTTCGGCCACGTGCTGCGCATGCCTAACCATCGCCTCCCCCGACGGACGGGCATTACTAGCTGATATAGGTGCAGGTTGGAAAAGAGTAAGTGGTGGCCAAACAAAAACATGGCCTCATCAATCCATGAAATCCCTGACAGTTAAACTGAGTCAGGTAGGGAGGGAGATGCAGACTTCCGGGTTGGGGCCCGCCCTCGGAACTCTAAGAATCAATGAAGGCTGGAGACAATAGGTGACATGGCTCAAAATCTTTGTCAATGGCTTACGCAGATGTATTCAGTCTCTTTAACCTTTATACTCCTTTCTACCATTACTCATTCTGTTTCACTCTTATACTTGTCAAAACTCTATTGATTCTCTTCACTCATTTTCTTGTCTACCTTTGTGTGCTATTTGGAACGTGGCAACTGGAACTGGTGCACTTCGGTGCCAAGTTCTATGTTGAATCCAGACAGACAGAGACAGGTTACAATTACGTTCCACCTACTTTAACTCCTCATATATGACTTGGTACAGCT